AAAAGAAAGCAAAATTTCTTTTCCACCAACCTGGCCTCTGTATTGGCTTTTGAGCAGCGAGCAGCCGGGCCCCACTTTCGGTTACACAAACGCTGGCCACGGAAGCTGAGTGAGCTTTCCAGGCTGGCAAGCCTCAGTGTGCATTCTCACGCACCACGGCTGGGAGGGGTGAGGCCACGCATGGCTCCACAGGGACAGGATGGGCAAAGCTCACGTTTGGACGCCCCCCAGACTCCACCTATGCTTCTCTCCCTATGACTGGTTCTAATTTGTATGCCTCCCTGTAATAAATGTGGCTGTGAGTATAATAGTTTTCAGCGAGTTCTGCGAGTCATTCCAGCAAATGATCAAACCTGAGGGTGGTTGCGAGGACCCTGAAATTTGTAGCCCCCAGATCTAAAGTAAAGGCGGTCCTGAGACCCCTGAACTTGCAGCTGGTGCCTGCAGTCAGGGCAGTCTTGTGGGGACTGTTCCTTCAGATAGTCCGGTTGGCCGAACTTGTTGCAGCTAGTGTGAGAAGTCTTGGGCAGACGTGGCAGTCTGGAGGGCTCTGCCCTAACCTAGCAGCTTGGCTACCTCCCAGGCAGGGCTGTTCCGTTCCTACATTTTCCCAGTGGGGCCGCTACAAGTGGCCAACACGCTATCTGACCTTCTCTGTGGCCAGGACCCTGCCCCTAGACTCACAATCCCTGTTGTCTTAGAGCAGTTGTAAGTGTAGGGCTGGAATCTTTTACTTTTTGTCTTCGCTTTGCCTGATCAAGTGAGCTTGACACAGGGGAGGAGACTGAGGGAAAGACTCGGGGTCAGGGGTTCCTGAGCCCCTTGAAGTTGCTTGCAAGATTCTGTGGTTATGGACCTACCGTATAGCACAGGGAACTCTGCTCAATATTCTGTAATGACCTAAATGGGAAAAGAATTTGAAAAAGAATGGATACATGTATACGTATAACTGATCACTTTGCTGTACACTTGAAACTAACATAACATTGTTAATCAACAATATAAAAAAATCCAATATAAAATTTCAAAAAAGATTCTACGTGTATGGGTCTGGATTTTTCTGGAGAGGATCCACGGCTTTCTTCAGATTCTCAAAGCAACACTGCAGGTGCCAAGACATGAAGCGCATACAGATCCATCTGAGATTCACCCTGGGCTCGTGGGCAGGTGTCAAGATGCTAACAAAACACCAAGAGGCTCCAGGAAAGAGACCAGAGGAGGCCTCTGAAGACAAATATGTCCGCTTGGGGTAAAGTCATATCCAAAGATTTCATCTGATAATTCCTGAGCCATGTGTCTTGGGATGTGCATAGTTGCGATGTTGGAAAGAGTGTGAACATGCAGTCTCACGCAGGGGGAAGGGCAGAGTTGATCCCAGTTGGGTGACAGCTTTTCCCCAGGCTGGAGCCGGAGATGGAACAATGGGTTCTAGGGAAAATGTGCGGATCTCCCACCTCACACCGGGGACTGGGGGCTGATCGTTCAGGAATGGAACGTCACAGAGCCAGGGCCAAAAGCAGGGCCGCATCCTAACCCAAGAGTGGTGGTGTTGAGACAAAGCTTCTGGCAAAGCTGAAATCTGAGAGTGGGCAAGGTAAGGTGGGGTCAGCTCAGCCTGGAAAAAGCATTGTGCAGGTCAGTCTAGTTACCCTGCGAAGCTCAGTTACAAAATGGGCACGAGACCTACAATAGAGGGCGCTATCGTGGGGTCCATGGAGCCGTGCGTAAGGGAGTGCCAGCCACTGGAGGTGAATTCAGGCCCAGCCAAGAAGGACCAAGGTCCAGCCCCACAGCCTGAAGATGCCAGAAGCAAGTCCTCGTGTCCCCAGGACCTTAAGCTGAAGGGCACGGTGGCCTGGACAGGATGCATTACCAGCCCCGCTTTGTAAGGAGCCTGGCCAGGCAGACCGATCTCACTTTCTAGGATGGTAGAGTGGGCCTGTGTGCACAGACAGGCAGCCAAAGGATCCTCCCAGGTCCGATGAACCAGGGCTTATTGGTTAATTTAACAAAAAGACAAAAGGTGAGCTTGTCCAGACAGAAGGAGGTTTAAAGCCACAGATAGAACAACAGATGAGTCAAGACAAATGGCGTCTGGGGATTCCCTGGCGGTCCAGTGGTTAGGACTCTGTGTTCCCATTGCAGGGGGGCACGGGTTCGATCCCTGGTGGGGGAACTAAGGTCCTGCAAGCCGCGCAGTGCAGCCAAATAAATAAATAAATAAAACGAAATAAAGCCAAATGGTGCACGACCCCTGGGGACACCAGCTTTATCTTCTCTTTTCTTCCCCCCTCCCCCCTCTAAACTAGACCGCATCCTGAATTCTAGTTTTCTCCAGTATTTGGCTACCACTCTTCCAACTCACGTTTCCAATTTTTCTCCCACTTTTGACTGGGCATCATCAAGAAAGAGAGCTGCCCTTTTCCTGAAGCCCCACCAAGTCAACCTGAGAAATCTGACATCCACCTCAGACAGCTGACAATTGCCCCCTCGTTAGGCCATCCTCATCCTCATGCCTGTTGCTGTGGAAACCACTCAGAAAGTTAACCTGAACGCAGCATCAGAGACATTTCAAACTGCCCAAGATGCTTTGACCCTGACATCTAGAAATCCTCCCGAGTGGCAGCACTCAGGACTCAGACCCCAGGTTGATCATGTGCTCCAACCATGAACATTTGTTTATTTTTTTATTTTTTATTTTTTTTTATTTTTTTGCGGTATATGGGCCTCTCATTGTTGTGGCCTCTCCCGTTGCGGAGCACAGGCTCAGCGGCCATGGCTCACAGGCCCAGCCGCTCCGCGGCACGTGGGATCTTCCCGGACCGGGGCACGAACCCGTGTCCCTTGCATCGGCAGGCGGACTCTCAACCACTGCACCACCAGGGAAGCCCAACCATGAACCTTTGTTTTGCTTTAAGGAGAGACTGGTTTCATGAGATGGAGCCATCTACCAATTCAGCTTCTGGGCCTTGAAACTTCGTACAAGGAGTTTTAAAGGCGGGACTGTAGAGGAACAAAATTTGCCACCCCAAAATGTCTCTTGAGCATGCGGATTATTTCGCATCAAAACCATCAAGATGCCGTTGTATCTTCTGAGGGAGGGACCTTGGAACTGCTCCAGCCAAACTCCCCTCCTTGCAGGCCCCTCCTCCTCAGCACTGGAGGTAACCAGTGTTTTCCGGATGCGATGGCCCAGCCTTGGGGACAACCACCCCTTGAAGAAGAACTGCAGGCGACATGCTGGGTGGGGCCGAAGCAGCAAAGCACTCAGGACTCCTCCTCTGGCCTCTTTAGCGTCTGTGGGACCCTCTCTGCCTTCGGCCCACAGCACCTGACTGCCACGGTCGTGTGGTCCTTCTCCGTGAGCCTCAGTTCAGATGTGGCCTTAACCTGGGGGCCATAAGTTCAGGGGAGCCATAAACTGGGATGGGAACAAAACCTGCATCTTCATTTTCACTGAGCCTTAAGTTTCCTTTAATTGTAAAAGTGGGCGACAAACCACAGTTATCTTAGCGGTTCTGTGACTGTCACTATCAGTGAGGGTTTTAAGCAGAGAAACAATCAGTAGAAGGTACAGTTAATTCTCATTCTTTGCGGTAGTTATGTTCTATAAAATCGCTGCAAACACTGAATTAGTAAACACTGAAACATTGCTCCTGGGGGAAATTTCATCAACCGATCAATATACAACCTTGCTTATGTGTGTTTCTGTTTAAAGACCCTAATTTCATATATATGTTGATTCGTTAACATTGAACTCAGAGCCAACATCGCTATAACTCAGCTGTGAACGAAGCTCGTGTAACACACATATTTTCTCCTTTAGGTTCATGATACACAGCTTAGGACACTAGACAGCCCTTCAGCGCTATGCAGGGGGGCCATTTCAAACAGCAAAATCACCAACCAGAAGGACAAAAATGCTAAAACCATGGCACTAAATGTACTGTCAAAGGACCCTTGCTTGCAGTGTGAGAGCTGAACCAAGAAGGCAGGTCGCCTCACTCGACTTCCGCTAGGAACACGCATGCTGGATGCCTCACAATTTTTGTCTCTCTGTACGTGTCCTGGAACAGGACAACCTGTGGGAACAACCTCGTATGGCCACAAAAGCACCATGAGTATGGATTTGGGGGTCACAAATAAACTTCAGTGAGTGGCTGAATTTGCAAATACAAAATCCAAAAATAATGAGGATCACCTGTATATATTAAGAGATTTTTATTGTATTGTGAGGAATTGGCTTTCAGGATTATGGGGGTAGGCTCATCTGAAATCCACAGGGCAGGCTGTCGGGAAGGGCAGACTGCAGCTCTCGGACAGGAGCAGACATACACGAGCAGGAATTCTTTGGGGAATCTTCCACTCTGCTCTTAAAGTCTTTCAACTGTCTGAATTAGGCCCATCCAAATTATCTAGGATAATCTCCTTTACTTAAAGTCAACTGCCTATGGTCTTTCAGCCCATCTACAAAGTATCTTCCCTGCAACACCCAGTTTAGTGTTTGACTGAAGAACCAGGGACGGTAGCCTAGGCAGGCTGACACATCAGAAGACCATCAAAGTCACCGAAAGAAGTCACATTACAGGAGTGATACTGAAGTATGATAAAGACAATGTATTATCCGGTTTCGCTTTTAATAGCGAGCATGACAGAACACAAAAGCCACAGTGTTTTCTGTACTGAAAAATTCTTGTGAATGGAAGGATGAACCAGCAAAATGGAAATGCCATTGGACGTCTATCCCTTCTGAAAATGCATTTAAAGATGTTGGGGTGGGGGGTAAGGGTGTTGTGTAAGGAAAGCTCAATTCAAAGAATCTGGAACCAGGGAGAGCAGCTGGGTGCTGTGTGACCACCTAGAGGGGTGGGATAGGGAGGGTGGGAGGGAGACGCAAGAGGGAGGGGATATGGGGATGTATGTATATCTATAGCTGATTCGCTTTGTTATACAGCAGAAACTAAAAAAAAAAAAAAGCTGGAACACTTCCAGCACTTGGATTTGCTATTTCACAATAAGCTTTTATTGGCACATCCTCCAAAATTGCTCACCAGTCGCCCAGAGAAAAGTCTCCCACGCTGTCGGGGGGACATGTTACAGTGCCCTGGCACATGCACAGAGATTATCCAGCTGCTTTTTGGATTGGACCAGAAGAAAACACTGGAAGCAGGTTCCTTGTCACATGGTGTGATATGTTCTAGAATAGATGACATTTCTTTTAACATTTTGAAGCAGGTCGCTGGGGAAACAGCAGCTTCACTCTCCTCACTGTGGGCGTGCTGGTGCTACCAAAGAATTCTTACTTTCCGAGTGGCTTTTGCAAACTACAAAGGCTGTGGACATTTTGAAAGCAGTAAAAAGTGTCTTTGCCAAATAAAACTTTGCCTGGGAAGAAAAGCTTCATTCTCTACCCAGCTGGACCTCCTGCAAATCTGATTTTGCAAACTTGGTGATAAAACTCTCCACGTTGTCATCACTCAACACACGGGCAATAAAGACTTTTGTGACATCTCTGAAAGATGTTTTGTCAACTTTCATAAAAGTCATCAACTTCATCAGAAGCAGGTCTCTCAATGACTGCATTTGCAAACAGCTTGTCAGGAAATGGGAACACAGTCCGTGAAGTGCTTCTCACTGGCTTTCAAAGGACAAGTGCTCTGTTCAGACTAACAGCAGAAGTCTTATTATTTTCTGAAAGAAAAAGAAAGGCCACGTCTGGAAACACTTTGAAGGAAAAGATTTTATCCTCGGATTGGCTTACTTGACAGGTATTTTTAACTGTATGAATGAGGTGTCTTCCTCTTCGAGGTCCCGGAGTCACCATTTATGCTGCTCCTAAAAAATTTACAAACTGGGACAATAAGAAAGGAGAATATAGTACCAATGACATCTTTGCAAATGATCCCAGGCTGGGGACGTGCTCTCTTAGGACAGAGAGCAGACACAAAATGCTCTAATAATCTCTTTGCAAAGAGAAATCTGCCAACACCTGGCAACATTTCATAACTCTTTCAAAAGTTATTTCAGTCTTTAGGGAATCAAAATTGAACCATGAATCCACAATTCTTTTCTTCCTGAGATAATGTGTTCCTGAATTTTGACCTAGCTAAAGATGAACTCATTTTTCTTAGGACAAAAATACTTATGACGAGTAGAGCTTAACTAAAAAAGCCTTGAAGAATTCTGGTATTCTTTGAGAAAAGCCTGTCTTCTCCTAGTAAAGCCAGCCCTAGAAGCTTAGATATAGATCTTTGCAAGTCAAGATTTTCAGGACTTATAACATTGAAAAGGAAAACGAATCAACCAGATGTACAAGCACCTGCTGCTTCACCTTGCACTTCTATGTTACGGAGAGGGCATCATTCCTTAAACCTCACGAACCAACCTCTGCTAGCTTTCATACTTTTCTTTCGCAGCTACCTCACCTCCCTCAGCCTTCATAGAATTGAAGAGAGTTGGGGCCTTGACCTGGATTAGGCTTTGGTTTAAGGGAATGTTGTGGTTGGTTTGGTCTTCTATCCAGACCACTGAAACTTTCTCCACATCAGCAATAAGGCTGTTTCACTTTCTTATCATTCATGTGTTGATGAGTAGCACTTTTAGTATCCTTCATGAACTTTCCTTCTACATTCACAAGTGGTGCTGGAGGCCTACCTTTCAGCCTGCCTCAGCCTTCGATGTGTCTTTCTTGCTGAGCTTAATCATTTCTAGCTTTTGATTTAAATTAAGGGACATGTGACTCTTCCTTTCACTTGAACACTTAGATGTCATTGTAGGGTTATTAATTGGCCTAATTTCAATATTGTGTCTCAGGGAATAGGGAGGCCCAAGGAGAGGGAGAGAGACGGAGGAACGGCCGGTAGGGGGAGCAGGCAGAACACACACCTTTATTGATGAAGTTTTCAGTCCTATGTGGGTATGGTTCGTTGTGCCTCAAAACAATTACAGTAGTAGCATCAAAGATCACTGATCACAGGAAATTCCCTGGTGGTGCAGTGGTTAGGACTCCTCGCTTCCGCTGCAGGGGGCTCGGGTTCCATCTCTGGTTGGGGAACTAAGATCCCGCATGCCGCACGGTGTGGCCGAAAAAATAAAAAAGGCAAAGATCACTGATCACAGATCACAGATAACCACCACAAAAATAATCATCATGAGAAAGTTGGAAATATTGCTAGAATTACCACTGAAAAGTTTGAAATATTTCAAGAATATGACACAGAGACACGAAGTAAGCAAATGCTGTTGGAAAAATGACGTGAATAGACTTGCTTGACACAGGTTGCCACAAAACTTCAATTTATAAAAGATGCAACATCTGCAAAGCACAAGTCAAAGCACAGTAAAATAAGGTGTCCCTAGGGAGTTCCCTGGTGGCCTAGTGGTTAGGATTCCGGGCTTTCACTGCCGTGGCCCGGGTTCCATCCCTGGTTGGGAAACTGAGATCCCGCAAGCCAGGTGGCATGGCCCCCAAAAAACAAAAAGGAAACAAGATGTGCCTATACCATTTACATTCTACCAGCAATAGATGAGCTCTAGCTCTATATCCTTGACCACACTTGGCATTGTCAGTAGTTTTAACTTCAGCCACGGTGGTGGGTATGTAGTAGTATCTCAGAGCAGTTTTTTTTTTTTCATTGCAGTTTTAATTTGTATTTCTCTGATGACGAATCATGTTGAGCACGTTTTTATGTGCTTTTTTCCTAACCAGATATCTTCCTTTTTAAAGTGTCTGTTCAAGACTTTAGTCTCTTTATTGGGTTGTCTTTTATTATGGATCTTTAATCCTTTATTATTTTGAAAATACATATGTATTGTGAAGTACATATGTATCAGAAATACATATGTATTGTGAATATTATCAGAAATACATATATATTGTGGATATTTTCTCCTAATCTATGGCTTGTCTTTTCATTTTCTTAACAGTGTCTTCTGATGAGCAGACATTTTAATTTTGATGAAGTCCAATTTATCATTTTTTCCCCATTTATGGTAAATACAATTTGTGTCCTAAGAAATCATTCCCTACCCTTAAGTCATAAAGACATTCTCCTTTGTTTTCTTCTAGAAGCTTTATAGTTTTAGGTCTTGTATTTAGGCCTGTGATCCATTGTGAATTATTTTCATATATAGGGTGAAGTAAAGTCAAGGTTCATTTTCTAAAATATGAATACCTAGTTTTTTAAACCCCACTTGTGAAAAAGGCTATCTTCTCCCCATTAAATGTCTTAGTACCTTTATCAAAAATCAACTGACTGTGTATATGAGGAATTATTTCTGGACTTTCTAGACTGTCTCATTTTCTATATATTTATCCTTAAAATAGTAACACAGTGCCTTGATTACTGTAGCTTTATAATAAATTCTGAAATTATTTAGTATAAGTCCTCTGGCTTTCTTTTATTTTTCAAGACCGTTTGGCTATTCTAGTCCCTTGCATTTCCAGAAAAGTTTTAAAATGATCTTGTTGGGACTTCCTTGGAGGTCCAGTGGTTAAGACTCCGAAATTCCACTGCAGGGGGCACAGGTTCAATCCCTGGTCAGGAAACTAAGATCCCGTATGCCATGCGGCACGGCCCCCTCCAAAAAAAATTATGCTGTCAATTTCTGTAAAAAAGTTTGCTGAGATTATGATGATTGGGTTGAATCTATAAATGTGGAGAAGATCGACATCTTAACAATATTGAGTCTTCCAATCCACAAACATGGTGTATCTCTCCAGTTATTTATTTAATTTCTTTTCACAATGTCCTGCTCATCTTTCATTGAATTTACTTAAGTATTTTGTTTTTATTAATGCAATTATAAATTGTAGTTAAAATGTTTTATATTTTCCAATTGCTTAATGATTTGTACATAAATACAACTGGTTTTTATATGTTGATCCTTGTTATATAAATCCTTGTAAACTTGATAAAAATTTTTCTTTTTAGTGATAGTATTTTGGACGATTCCTTGTTATTTTGCTACATAGACAATCATATCATGTGTGAATAAAGAACTTTAGTTCTTGCTACCCAATATTTTTCTTTTTTTTTTTTTGGCCACGCCACGGGCGGCCTGTGGGATCTTAGTTCCCCCACCAGGGATTGAACCCAGGTCCTGGCAGCGAAAGCACCAAGTCCTAACCACTGGACCGCCAGTGAATTCCCTCTTGCTTCCTAATCTTTATGCCTTTTTATTTATTTTCCTTGCCTAATTGCACTGGACTTCCAATACAATATTAAGTAGAAATAATGAGAGCAGACATCCTTGCCTTGTTCATTATCTTAGGGAAAAAATATTCGACATTTCACTATGTAACATGATGTTAGTGGTAGGTTTTTCATAGATGTTCATCAGTTTGTTAAAGTTTGTCAAGCTTTGTTTATTATGAATGTTGATTATTGAATGTTGATAAATTTCTTTTTACTTTTATTTGGACAATTGTATTTTCTCATTTATCCTATAATGTGGTGAATTACATTGATTTTCAAATCTTAATCAACTTTGAATTAAGGATACACCCCACTTGATCATAATGTATTATCATTTAAATATATTTCTACATTTAACTTGCTAATATTAAAAGGATTTTATGTTTATGTTCATGAAGGATATTGGGGTATTTTTCTTGTAATGTCCTTCTCATACTTTGGTATCAGCACTCATAAAACAGATTGGAAATTCTTCCTTCCTGTATTTTCTGAAATAGGTTAGGATTGGTGTTGTTTCTTCTTTAAACATTTGATAGAATTTATTTACAAAGCCATGTGGGCCTGGGATTTTCTTTGTGGGAAGGTTTTGAATGATGAGTTCAATGTTTTCAGTAGATGTAGGGATTAGCTATTCAGATGTTCCATTTCTTTTTGTGTCAGTCTTGGAAAGTTGTGTTTTCAAAGAATTTGCTCATTTTGTCTAAGTTGTTAAATTTATTGGCTATTTGTCTTTTCATTTCTTTTTTCTTATCAGTCTTGCTATCAATTACACTAATCCTTTTCATCCTTCCAGTGAACCAACTTTTGCCTTGATTTTCCTATATCATTTTCATTCTTATTTTTATTATTCCCTTTTTGTGCTTATTTTGAGATTAATTTTCTTAATTAATTTTTTTGTAGTATCATCTAATTTTTCTTTTGATTTCTACTTTGACCCATTCAGAAGGGTTTTTCAGAAGTGCACTTAATGTCCAAATATTTAGGGATTTTCTAGTTGTCTTGTTGTTATCAATTTCTAATTTATTTCTATTGCGCCAGAGAATATGCTACGTATGTTTTTCAGTCTGAAATTTCTTGAGCTTTGTTTGGTGGCCTAGAATATTCTGGTGAATGTTCAATGTGCACTTGAATGTGTATCCTCACGTTGTTAGGTCTAATTGGCTAAATAGCGTTCAATTCTTCCATCACTACTGATACTTGTCTACTTACTTTATCTATTACTAAGTGAGAAGTGTTAAAATCTGCAACTGTGATTTGCAAATTTGTCTATTTTTCCTTTTAGCTCTGTCCATTTTTGCTTCACATATTGTAAGACTGTTATTAATATACATTTAGGATCGCTATACATTTCTGATAAATTGACCTTTTTTTCATTATGAAACGATGCTCTCTCTTTATCTTTGGTTATCCTCCTCGGTTTTTCGTTTTGTTTTGTTTTTTTTTGCGGTACGTGGGCCTCTCACTGTTGTGGCCTCTCCCGTTGCGGAGCACAGGCTCCAGACACGCAGGCTCAGCGGCCATGGCTCACGGGCGCAGCCGCTCCGCGGCATGTGGGATCTTCCCAGACCGGGGCACGAACCCGTGTCCCCTGCATCGGCAGGCGGACTCTCAACCACTGCGCCACCAGGGAAGCCCACATTTCACATCTTTGGAATTAATATTCCATATTCTCTATTGGCTTGTATTATTTAATGTTTGCTCTAGGGATTACAATACTCATCTTTAACTTATCACTGCTTACCTTAAATTAACATTATACTAGCTTAAGTGTAATGCTAGAATCTTAAAATCATATAACTTCATTGACCTACTTCCCTTAGTTTCTGCTATTTTTGTCATGTACTTTACTTTTACATATATTATAAACCCCAGAATATATGTGTATGTTTTTTGCCTTAGACAAAGACTACCTTTCACAGGATAAATTATTTACCATTTCCAGTGCTCTTTATTTCTTCTGGAAGATGCAGTTTACCAGCTGATATCATTCCCCTTCAGCATGAAAACCTTTCTTTAGCATTTTTTGAAATGCAAGTGTACTTACTGGTGATGAGTTCTCCCAGCTTCATTTGTTTGAAAATGACTTATTTCTCCTTTATTTTTGAAGAACACCTTGTAGATTTAGAATTCTAGATTGATATTTTTCCTTTAGCACTTTAAAGATATCATCCATTGTCTTATAATTTTCCTGATGAGACTTAGCCATCATTCCTATAGATGTTCCTTTGCACATAATGGGTCTTTCTTGTCTGGCTTTATCTTTGTTGTTCAGCAATTCAGTTATGATGTGCTGAGGTGTGTATGACTTTCTTCTTGGGTCTGTAGGTTGTTTTTCGTCAATTTAGATATTTTTAAGCCATTACTTTTCTAAGAGATTTATTTCTGCCCACTCATTCTTTCCTCTCCTTCTTGGGATCAATTAAACATGATGGACAGTTTGGTATTGTCATTGAGGTTCTGTTCATTTTTCTCCCAATCTTTTTCCTTTGAGCTTCAGTTTGGATCATGTAGGGGAGGAAAAATATCTTTTCCCTCTACCCTTCTAAGTTCTTGGCTGGAGCCCTGTAACAAAAGACAGATTAAAAAGAGAGAAGCATACAAATTTATTTAATATAAGTCTTACATGATGTGGGAGCCTTCATAAGGAAATGAAAACCTGAAGAAGTGGTTAAACCTTAGTATTTTTATGTTAGATTTGATGAAGGGTGGAGAGTTGTGGAAAAATATGATAGAACCCCCCAAAAAAGGGTATGAACTGAGTGTAGTAAACTGGGGGAAACAGCAAGGCCTGTTCCTTCAAATTCCCTCTTGGTGTCCCTCTGTCTTCAGAGATAAGGGTGATCCTTTCCTCCGGGTATAAGGAGGGCACCTCTCATATGAGGGTTCTATGACTTGCTTCAGGGGAAGCTCTGTAAGTCCTTCCTGCACCTGCTGTTTCTCAAATTCCTTCAGCTTGAAATATTTAATATGCTATGATATCATATTTTGGGGTAGCATGCTTTGACCTCTATATTACTATTGGTCTATCTTCTAGTTTACTGATACTTTCTCCTGCTGCTAAGCCTTTCTAGTGAATTTTTTAATATATTGTTTTCAGTTCTAGGATTTCCATTTGGTTCTCAGTCTCCATCTCTCTCCAGAAATTCCCCATTTCTTCATTTATCTTTTCCTGTAAATTCTTTAACATATTTACAACGATTAAAGTCCTTGCTTACAAATTTCAACATGAGTTGTTTGCTTTTTGCTCGATTGTGGACATTTTCATACTTCATTGCACGTATAGTTACCTTTCTCTTACTGGACATTATGTATGACATATTGCAGAGTTTGGATTGTCACCGTCCCCTGAACACTGTTGGATTTTGTTCTAGTAGGCAATTAAATTCCCAACAGATTCCCCCACTGATTACGTGGGGGCTTAGTTTTAGGCTTTAGGTTTTGTTAGGGTTAGTCTCTCTTAGTTTTGCATTTTGCCCTTAGTCCTAGGGTTTAATCCATGGGCCTGGAATGTGCTGTTACTTCTGAAGTATGATTCTTCTGAGTTTCAAAGAAAAGCTTAAGTGTTTATCAAACACCTCTAACTGGGCAGAACTTGAACTTCAAACTTCTCTCCAGCACCAGGTATGTGCTGGAACCTGTAGCCAGCGATTTCACCTTTCCCTTGTTTTCCCCTGTGCTCGAGACTCTTGCTCTGCTCATCAATTTAGGACTCGGCCAAGAATTTGAAGGCAACTTGTATGCATATTTTATGGCTTTCTTCTCTGTCTCCCTCATCTTCAGGAAAGTTTCCAGACTCAAACTCCAACCTGACTTCTCAGTTTAGTAAGACTCCCTTTCTGCTTAAACTCTATGCCCAAAGGTTCATGCTAATCAGGGTGCAGGGTTGGGTACCCTTGAGGGGAAAGATATTTAAACATGTATCTCCTCCCGTGTCCTTACCTTCTTTCAAGGATGGTTTCTGCTCCAGTTTCTATCTGGTATTGTTTGGTCTTCAACACCTTCAGAAGTTGATTCTTATATTTTGTCAAGTTTATAATTATCAACAGGAGGGTTAGTCTGTTACAAGCCACTCCATCATTACCAGAACCAAAATCCCTAACTGTATTTTAAATGTAAATACATCTTGTGGAGGGGGAGGTCCAAGAGGGAGGGGATATATGTATACATATAGCTGATTCACTTCATTGTACAATTGTAAAGCAACTACAAATTTAAAAAATGTAAATACATCTTACCTAATGTATTAGTGAACATATACACAATTCTATCACAAATGATGTACTTTAATATTTTAAAAACTTTTTTCTGGGCTTCCCTGGTGGCACAGTGGTTGAGAGTCCGCCTGCCGATGCAGGGGACACGGGTTCGTACCCCAGTCCGGGAGGATCCCACGTGCCGCGGAGTGGCTGGGCCCGTGAGCCATGGCCGCTGAGCCTGCGCGTCTGGAGCCTGTGCTCCGCAGCGGGAGAGGCCAGGGCAGTGAGAGGCTCGCGTACCGCAAAAAAAAAAAAAATTTTTTCAATATACTTGATTTCCCTTATAATGCTTTAAAAAAAAAAGTATTTGAAAACATTATTCTGAAAAGGTTTCAAAAGCTTTGCCAGACTCCCAAAAGAACTCCCAACACAAAAATGTTAAGAACTTGAAAAACGTACGTTAAGAACTCCTGGCCTTAGAGAGTCCCTCCTGCTGCTGCCATAGGTTTCCTGCAGTTGAGGGAAGGAGTTTCTCCAGGATTCCTTCATTACCTACTGAATACCTACTACGTGTCAGGGACTGTCCTAGGCCCATGAGACAGAACAGTAAATAAAACCCAAGTCCCTCCACTCAGAGGTTGGCAGGAACACGAGTGTTCTTTTCACATTTCCATGTCGAAGGACCAGCAGTAAAGTCTTTCTCCTCCAATGACAGGGTTACCTGATGTGGAGGAACAGCCACTGGCTCATATATATTAATTGGATAAAATCCTGTTGGGAGGCTCTACTCCCAGGTTTATTTGTTCTCATCCCTCTTCATCCTACTGTCACAGAGCCTCCACCCTTTTCCTAACCATGAGAGAAAAGGACGTTGCAGGTTGGCAGGAGGAATGTCAGGTGCTGCAGGGAAGCCATAAACTAGGGGAGGACCAACCACTGGATTTGCAGCCTTTGGTCACTGGCACCCTTAACGAACTCAGTGCTGAGGTGGGGACAGAAGCCACACTACTGGAGGCAAAGTGGGAGGCAGGAGTGTGGTCCTTCTCGAAGTCTGGCAATAAAGGCTAGAGGGAATGGCTAGGCAGGGAGGTAGGCTCAGGAGACAAGCTCTCTTGGGATGAGAAAAGCTTTGGCACTTTTTACTTTTTTTTTTTTTTTTTGGGTGTGCGGGCCTCTCACTTGTCGCGGCCTCTCCCACTGCGGAGCCCGCTCCGGACGCACAGGCCCAGCGGTCATGGCTCACGGGTCCAGCCGCTTCGCAGCATGTGGGATCCTCCCGGACCGGGGCACGAACCCGTGTCCCCTGCATCGGCAGGCGGACTCTCAACCACTGCACCACCAGGGAAGTAGCTTTGGCACTTTTTAAGGCTGAGGTCAGACAAAGATTGGGTTATAATGAAGTAATTAGTGGGCCAAGTATGGGTAAATGGGACAACTCTGAGATAAGAGCACAGGACAAGCATTCAACAAACTATAGTTCTTGTACCCAACTGGAATCCACTTTTTTGGCGAAGATTCCACACCATCTCTGTGTGCTGAGTGCACTTCCTGCAGATTCCCAGACCCTATCACTACATAGATTGAGTTTGGAGTTGAAGACCCATTGGCCTGAGACAATCTTCAGCTTCCTTCTCGACGCCTGTCAGGTGCCCACATCCTTGTGGATGTGCTGCCACCTGCTGGAAGGATGGTGGAAGTGGCGACAACCATTTGCCGTAGGGAACTGCTTTCCTAAAATGGCTGCAAAACCCTCACCCAACCCAAACCAGAAACCAGAGGAAGCAGGCAGGCCTAGGATTAAGTCTGCAGGACTCCCTCCGTGCAAGTCCTACAGCTCTTCTGCCATCGCAAAGGGTAACCACCCTCCATCCTCATCTTCCTTTCACTGGAAGTCGGCATAATACCCCTGGCTGGAATGACTAGTAAGACACAGGGCTGGATTGTTTCCTTCACTTCAAAGAAAAACAGCAGTTAGGAAGAAAGAATCCTATTTTTCTGCTCGTGTCTTGCCCCACAGCCGGTTACAGAGAGGCTGAGGTAAACGCCTGGCACACTACCAGCACCATTGACTGCCAGTGGGTTAGCAAGGTGGGTTCAGACTTATCTCAATGCAGGCCCTACCCTAGGAGCCAAGAACTCCTGCAACTGGGCTGCCAGCAGGGTCAGGTTCAGCCCCCCCTGCCAAAGGGAACCCACCCACCCCCATCACCACACGGTCTTAAAAGTTAATACAAGTACTGAATAAGCACTGGCTCTGCCAAGCTGGCAAATGCTAATTCACGTTCCTAGATGGCCGAAGAGTGCACTATGCTTTCAGGTTTAAACCCGGAAGACAGCTGCGGGTTAATGGAGAAGGCCCTGCAGACCCAAAGACCAATCTCACAGGCCCCTTCTTCAAATTCCAGTTTGGGACAGACTGAGCTGCTATGAATGACTTAACTTTTCACATGCTCAGCTAAAACTCTACTCAGCGTTGCTTTAAGACGTAACATACTTTAACTCATGAGTAGCCCTAATGGGCTCCAACTAATTAAACTTTTAATTCTAGAAAAATATAGGCTACCAAGCGTTCATTTCATTATTTTGCTTTTAATTTTTATCAGAGTATAGTTGCTTTACAATGTTGTGTTAGTTTCTACTGTACAGCAAAGTGAATCAGCTATACGTATACATATATCCCCCTTCTTGTGGATTTCCTTCCCATTTAGGTCACCACAGAGCACTGAGTAGAGTTCCCTGAGCTGTAGGCTCTCCAATGGTTCATTTTAGTTTTTAGCTTTGCCTGACGACAGGATGTCCCTCTGCTGGCTTGATTTTTCTTCCCAGCAGCACCCAAACTTCCCATCTTCCACCCCTTCAAACCAGGTTATTTGTCCTGGTCTGCGCCTTTAGTACTTACAACGGACTTGACTTGGTGAGTGGTGCGTGATATGCACAAGGTTTAGATACCCTCATCCTGCCAGCAACTCATAACCAGGCCAAAACTAAGCTAATTCAAATCCTTTAGTTTGCCCTCTAGTCTACCAGTACTGGATTTTTGAGTTGGCATTTTCATTCGGTACCATCTTGCGCACCATTTTTCAACTAAATATATCATGTTAATCGCTTGACCTAGGCCTCTCATGTGACCTTTTACTAGAAGTGGAGGGTGGGCAAGGGAATGCTTAACAAGCCAAAATGTCCACGTTCTCATCATAGCGCAAAACCAAAGGCCTTTCCTGTTGGTTTAACCTGAGGGTGCTGGGGGAATTACAAAAGATATCAGGTCCATCGGCTAGACCGGTAGCTTCCTCTCCAGCCTCACAGTCCCAAAGCCTCCGTTTTGGCCCACGCACCCAGCAGGAAGTACACTCATCAGTCGTCGCTCTCGCACCCACCTAAACAAGGCCGGACCAAAGCGCTCCTGGCCCTCTTTCCAAAGCACTTTTTCAGGACACCTGACCCCTCAGGCCTGTTTCTAAGTCGGCTAAGGCCACAGTGGACTTCCAATGAGCCTTTCACGTGACATACACAGGGCTGCAAAAACTTATGGCTGGGATACTTGAAACCAAAGCATAAGCATTTTCACAGGGGGTGGAGATCTGGAGTGGCAGAACTGATTTGCCATGCTCCACTCTCAGTGTATTCCAGGAGAAACACTCTAGGACAGGAAGTACAAGTCTGGCACCAGAGTTTAGGACTTTTAATTTGTCCCAAAGTTGCTAAAGCAAAAATCATGATAAAACATTCTGCTTTCCTTTATAACCCACCAACGCAAAAAAACAAAAACAAAACCAAAAAACTCCGTAGGAAAAAAATGGTTTTGTACATGGGAGGAAACAATATAAATTCAAAACTTACAGATAAGGGTTAGCTCTATCACTCATCTCTTTAAAAAGTTTATACGAATATCCAGTCAACACCAACAGGGTTATCTCCCTTGAAATGTTATCTATACGGATTTCCAAGTAGACCACAGGGCTGTATACTGTCTTGGAATGTCCTCAGAAGGCTCTGTCATTGAGCAGGTAACAGAGTAAAAACCTCAGAGTCCTTTCTTTCAAATGGAAGAGGGGAAGACAGGGATAGAAGAAACTATTCGAACTTCGTCTTCTTTCCTTGTGGCTTGTGGTCTCCTCCTCCTCCTCCTCTGCCTCCTCGGAAGCCTCCTCGCCCTGCAGGAAGGCAAGCCGTCACTGAAGAGTGGCTGCAAAGCTGCCAGCCATGCCCTCCCCAGCAGGACGAGTGGGGACTGGTGCAGGAACCGGGGCCTGCAGGCTCAGGTCCAGGAGTGCATTGCCACGGCTACCTGGCACACACAGCTGGGTAGCCACCGCGCCCCTTACCTCCAAAGCCTCCCCGGCCTCGGCCTCCAAATCCACCTCGGCCGCCACCTCGGCCTCCTCCTCGGCCACCGAAGCCACCTCGGCCTCCTCCTCGGCCACCGAAGCCACCTTCACCCTTAGGCTTGGCCCAGTCCAAAGTAACTTTGTTTCCATCGATTTCACCATCTTCCATGGCCTCCTTGGCAGCTTTGGCCTCTTCCTCGCTGTTGAAGTCTACAAAACCAAACCTAAAAACACCAAACGAAATCGCCCATTATAAAGCCAACATGTGGAACAAATGCCAAGTTACTCCCACATGTTGGATGGTGACGCTTAGCTGGGGCAAGACCCAGGTGAGGGCAGTTCCCTATGGAAAGCTGAAACAGAATGTCCCACAAAACAGCTGAATATACCTCTCTGAAGACAGAAGGCAACAATGCTAGCTCTGTGAATTGTCTCTTCTTCTCGTGCGAATCCTAAACTGTCACCGATCGACAGAAAGGAGCTCAATGAGAAGACGTCTTAGGTGGGAACTCTCCACCTGGTGGACGCCACACGTTCCCTGCATCTTACTTACCCCTTAGAGGATCCAGTCTCCCGGTCAGTGACTATCCTTGCACGAACAGAGCCGTCAAACGACTCCTTTAATGTCTCTTCTGTAGTATCCTCAGACAGACCTTTGACAAACAGAGTTTTGGATGGCTCTGGGAAAAGAAAAATAAAAATTGTACTTTTTATTAAAGTCACAATTTATGACAGCATGCTGGACTTGCATGTTGCAGTCTAGTATCTGACTACTGGCTAAGAATGCTCATCTTAGCAAAAGGTAGTAGCATTTCACCTCGAGTGTCTGGGTAAAAGCAACTTGGTCAACTAACGTTTAAAGCGAAGGGCTTAGACCAAATGCCATGTCAAGTTTACACTGATCACCAGAGCAGTTGAGAATCTTTTATGGAAAACAGGAGAAGCAGCGACCCAAGCAAGTGAAAGTAGTTCTAAACCAGGCAGCTACAAACACCATACAAGACAGTAAACCCCTGGCAAATGTGCTGCTCAGTGTTGACTTCGCTGGATCAGAACTTGACTATCTAGAGGACTTTTCTTGAGATTTCATCAGTTATTTCTCAGATAATCAGTCATCATATCCAGTATCATTTACTCAGCAGCAACAGAAACAAACGTTCTAGATCTGAGGACGCAACCACAAACAACATCCTGTTAATGAAGTTAACTTACGGCTTCTTGCATTAGGTTGTCCCCTGGGTCCTTGCAACTCCAGCCTGATGGCTCTGCCCTCAATTTCCCTTTTATTACATGAATTTAAAGCTTCTTTAGCATCTTCAAATGATGCAAATTCTATAAATGCATACCTGAGGATAAAGAGTCAACATTTAGAGTACGTTACCAAGCACATGGCTCCTCTGATGCCACCAAGCCTTTTTCTTCAAACACTTCAATGGTGCAGCTTCTACTAATGGCCAGAAGAACATGATTTTACCTCAAGATACTCTTAAAAGCCTGTAACTGACAACATAAAGATACTAATTATTTTACCCTTTAGATTTGCCACTTTGGTTCTGGGGCACTTTGATAAACGTTGCCTTCTCAAATACTTCCTGAAGAGTTTCTTCCGTTGCACTATAGGAGAGGTTGCTTAAAACCAGGGTTTTTGATTCACCTACAAATAAAGAGATGTCAAATTAAGACTGAAGCAGTAGTTCCCAACGTCAGTCACAGCTATACATTGTTCTTAAAGAATCTCTGTGCTTGGGAGAGTTAACACACCAATGTTGATACAAGTGGAACCCTACCTGGTACTCAACATATCACGTACCTACTATGTACTGTTACATGCTGCTTCCTTCCACTCCTACTGTTCAGATGTAAGCTGACTACAGCACTGTGTCTTCCCAGCATATTCTAATTTTTAAATGCACACGATCTAAGTCCTTTACAGTATAAAACATGCAAAGGAAGCTAGATTTATCTGTGTTCTAGTACAAAGATTTCATATAACCCTCATTCAAGACACTCAATTACAAATACAGGTATAACTTGCTGATCTACATCTCCATCCAATTTATCAGTCAACTTTATAAAGGACAAAGATGCAAAGGATTTCTTTTCCCTCCATCAATTCCAGAACCCTGTAGGAAGCCTATAAATTCTTACCAGTCCAAGTGCTATTCTTTCCACCTCTATGGTCTTGACCTTGACCTTTCTCTCCGGTATAGTACAGGGAAATGGATCGCCCATCTATCTCTGTTCCCTGCTTTTCTTCCAAGGTTTTCTCTGCATCAGCTTCTGTCTTAAATTCAATATAAGCAATCCTACAAAAGGAAAAAACATTAAGAACTCACTTGATTTTTAAAACCGTATTAATTCTCTAACACAGATGTTTTTTAATCTCAGCAATATGCCCATATTTCAGATAAGTACAATAAAAATGTCCTTTGTTTTATGGTAATTGAAATGTTCAAGGTTTCTGCCATCTTCCACTTTTCAATTTAAACTTTTCTCCCATTACAGAAAGTTTGCCAAACACTTCTAGAAAATTTGTTCACATTAAGTCCACCTCACTACAATAATCAATTATTTCCAAAACATTTACTGTAAGCGAGGCACATGTATAGTATTTTATACATCAGCTCATCTTACGATAAAATCACTTAATTTTATCACTTAATTTAAAGTACATTATCCCCACTGTACAGATGGGTGACTGACATAGGTTACAGAATAATTAATTTGCCCAAAATCACAAACACAGGAAAATTAAATCAACATTTCTTTTATAAATTAGTAAAGTTCATTAATTTTAATGAAACACTGCAGTAGACACAAAACATACCCTTTACTCTTTCCATCCTTGCTGACTAATCTGATCTCCACAGCATCTTCGAACACTTCTTTTAATTCTTCCTGAGTAACTTTATAAGGAAGATTTTTAGCCAAAAGTGTTCTCGCATCTCGTTCTAGATTAAAAAACACAAAAATGAACTGGATGGCTTAAAAGACGATTCTTCCCCCAAAGATCACCAGAGACTGACCAATGTAAAAGTTCTGTTTAAGAAATAATTTTGAGGGACTTCCCTGGCTGTCCAGTGGTTAAGACTCTGCGTTCCCAACGTAGGGGGCACGGGTTGGATCCCTGGTCAGGGAACTAAGATCCTGCGTGCCACACAGCACAGCCAGAAAAATAAAATAAAAAGGTTAAAAATTAAAAAAAAGAGTTTCTACAAGTAGGAGGCACTCTGCTACTATGGAGATATAGCAGTGGCAAAACAAACTGCTGTCACAGCTGACAACAAACTATGCACTGAATATTTAAAATACGGCTAAATATTATGTTTTATATAGAAGAGATGTTCAGTATTTTTCAATTAAAAATATCATTAAAAAACAAAAAAGTGTAGGGAATTCCCTGGCGGTCCAGTGGTTGGGACTCAGAGCTCCCACTGCAGGGGGGCACGCTTCGATCCCTGGTCGCAGAACTAGCATCCTGCAAGCTGCACGGCATGGCCAAAAAAATTTTTTTTACTTAAAAAAATTAAAAAATAAAAAGATCATAAACACACACTTAAAATGTGACAAGTGCATACAGAGAAGGGTAAAAGATGCAAAAGGAGTAGTTAGGGATCTGCTTGCTCTAGGTCCAGTGAGGAAAGGACTCCATCTTTTTTTTTTTTAGGACTCTGTATTAATTTAGGTACATCTAACCAATTATTTTTTGATTAAGTCTAGCAAGCAGTGCCAGGCACTGTTGTAAACATTTAACATTCTAATTCATTTAATTCTCACAACATTATGAGGAAGCCAAAGGAAAAAAAGTTAAACTACTTACCCTGGTTTGTCTACATTAGATTAGATACATAGTCATTAACAAGTATCATCATTACCTAAAGTTTTACATACCTTTCTTACTGTCTTTTCCCTTTGGTTTTTCTAGTTTAATTTCATTGCCAAAGACTTTTAAACCAGTGAGTTCCAAGGCTTTTTCCAGGTCTTCAGCAGATTCAAAATCCACATAGCCAAACTTCCTTTAAGGCGAAGAGGACAAAAAAAATTACAGGTGGGGGGAAAAAACAAAAAAACCCACCAAACAAGAGCCACGTAACACATATTCTGGGCAAGCAGCAACACTAATATGACGGTGCAAACAAGCATTAAAAAGCACCTATACAATTAATAAAACTGAGTCAGGCTCTTTTAAGCTGAGGCTACAGAGCAGGATCTAAGTACCAAGACCTGATGCAAGTTCACCTCTGAGATCTTCATTAGTTACACTGCGCCTTAACAACTGATAGCAGATGACCAAAAAAAACGTGTTTAAGCACTAAGATAGGAAAATCCTGTCTGATTAAAAGCATTCACTATTATGGCTTCTCAGGTCTAATAGCTACTTCTAAGATAAGCATCAAATCTCATTATTAGAAACTAGACTGTGCTATATCAAAAGTTATGGAAAATTATGGGAATTTCAATTTGGGGGTTTTACAATTTTATAGTCCAATGATTTAATTCATTAATGTCTAATCTTTGACGACTTTAACATACTCACATCAAGGATAATGGGCTAAGGTTCTAAAAGGGGAAGGAAAAAGCATTAGCAGACCCACGAGTATCGTGCAGAACTACAGCATAGCTCCCCCACACTTACCTAGACACACCAATTCTGACATCAACGACTGCAAGATCATTTTTCGCAAAAAGGTCACTGATACCCGTTTTCAATTCAGGAGCAGATTTACTGAAGTTCAGGTTTCCAACAAAGAGATTGAAAGATGTAGTTGGTTCTGTGGCTGTACAAAAAATTTACTCAACTTAGTCTATTTTCCACTATATTTGACTATTAGTCAAATTATTTCTGTACATAGCACATCAGCACATTGCAATATAACATCAGGTTTCAGTATTAAGTCCCTTTGCTGTTCATCACTTGTGCTATTAGGTGTTATTTCCCACCTCCCAATTCTCTAAGTTACCTTCCACTTTCTGTTTCTTGGCTTCGGGAGCTGCTTTTTGTTTGGCCATTTCCTTCTTTCGCTTTCCAGGTGCTTCTTTGACAAGTTCTGGTCAAGATATCAAACAATCTGTCATCCACAAGTAGCCACACATCCTCAAGCATCTCCTTTAAACAAAGCTCATGCCAATGCACTTCAGAACCTATAACTCGATTACCTTCCTCCTCCTCGTCCTCCTCCTCGTCCTCGTCCTCCTCGTCCTCGTCCTCCTCCTCGTCCTCGTCCTCCTCCTCATCCTCCTCGTCATCTTCCTCATCTTCATCTTCAGCAGTGTTCTTTGCCTTCACAGGAGCAGCTTTTGCTGGACCTTTCTTTCCTTTGGCTGCTGCAGTCTCCATAGCTTCTTCTTCTGAGTCTGAAAGAGAAGCCACCTCGTCAAAAACTCAGAATTATCCCAGTTCTATTCCTAGTCCTAGGAAAAGCCAAAGGAAAATGAATGTAATCTTGTCCATGCCACTGTGCTTAGTTGTTATGGCAAGAATTAACAAATCACTTGGAAGCAAAATTCTACATTGTGAAAAATACAGGATGAGCTGTTTGAAGCATGTTCCTCAGGAGCAGGCAATCATTCACAGGCACCACAGGTACCACTAGTGCACCACAAGCAGCCCAGAGAAACCCTGGGATGCTGCTTGTCTAACCCACCCCAGGTCATCAGGAGCACAGCATTACCACCCACGCCTCACCCCTAATGTATCTTGCAAACAGGAGCCCAAGGACTCCCAACACAATGCCTTACCATCCTCATCATCCTCGTCATCCTCATCGTCGTCTTCACCATCATCCTCGTCATCCTCATCCTCGTCATCCGAGGCAGGAGCAGCAGTTGCTTTCATCACCGCAGGCTCGAATTCATCCTCATCCTCCTCTTCATCCTCCTCCTCCTCCTCTTCACTGTCATCTTCATCTTCCTCATCACTGTCTTCCTTCTTGGCATTCTTGCCGTTCTTTGCTCCCTTGGCTGGAGCGGCTGCTCCCTTCTTACCAGGGGTTGCTACCAATGCTTTGCCTGGTGTGGCTCCCTTTTTGCCAGGTGTTGCTACTGCTTTGGCAGGTGTAACTGTCTTCTTGGCTGGCGTAGCGGCTGTCTTTTTGCCAGGGGTGACAACTGCTTTCTTTGCCGGTGTGGCAACTGCAACCTTTTTTGTTGGGGAAACCATCATCTTCTTTGCTGGAGTTGTGGTAGCCTTTTTGCCTTTTTTCTGAGGAATAACAACCTTAAGAATAAATAAAAACCAACATAGGCCTGTTTCCAAACTCAAGAGAGCCTTGGTCCCATAAATGAATGCTAAATTCTAGCACTGCCTCTAGATGAAGACCACATGCACTAGATGTTAGCAAGTTAAACTACAGGGTCAAGTAACACGTCCTTCTGTACGCTTCAAGTCACAGTTCGGCAGCACACCCTAACACGGACTCTGAAAATAGACTGGATGCCACTGCGTGGGCTTAGGCAAAGTTTTAAAACTTAATTTTAAGCCTCAATAGTTTCCCCATCTGAAAATAACTCAACTTTATACGTTGCTTTAAGGATTGAGTTGATATATGTAATTAAAAGCCTTACACATAGAAAGGACTACCTGCTAAGTGTTATTAAATTATTTGGGGCTCTCACAGTGGGTGGAGGAATAAAGTTCACTGAATGTTCATTCTTAGGACCAAAGAGAAAATGAACATCAAATAGTCAAGCTGTACAGTCAATCGTTGCAAAATTAATACAAAGAGTGAACACATTGGCTTGATAAAAAACTGTCGTTTTATCTACATTTAAGTCACACTCAAAACCACATTTTGTTGACTATTGGTTTTATCAGGTTATGTGTGTCAAAATAAAATATTAAATTCTAAATAAGAAACATGAGCAAATACAGCAATTAGGTGTCTTTGCAGCTAGCCAACAGTAGCTGGGAGTGCTAATTAAGTGCTAACACAACGGGAGGTGGCAACCCTCAATCCACACATTTTAACAGTGTTTAGTATTACCAAGCCCATACAGGATAACAAAGACCAATTAATCCTACTTAGAGACTAGAAGAATCTGTTAAGGCTAACCTCAGACCTAAATACAATGCTCAAAGCTGCCACTCGCAGGACAGTTAACTGTCCAGGCTGTTTCTCCAGTTGGTATGTGGGGCTAATGTGTTCAAAGTGGAAAACTAATAATATATTATTGCATTATATCACACCAAGCCCTGCAGAGGGCACATGAAAACTCCACACCTTTCCTCTCAAGTTCATTACTCTTATGGTATCTTGACAGGTCAATAAAAACTCTGTGAAACGCTGGACCATTACAACAGGTCATATATGAATGAATATAATCCTATTTTTTTGCAGTATTTTCAGACATCCAATACCACGTGCTTTTAACTCTCCATTTTGTAGTTTAACACAATTCTGCGTTAAACTATATACAATTACCTCTTCTCCACTGCTATCATCCTCTTCATCTTCTGACATTTCCTCATCTTCACTATCTTCTTCTACCTCCTTTGGGGGAGGAGCCATTTTCTTGGGGTCACCTTGATTTTTACCGGCCTAAAACAGACGCATTACACATTACACCTCCCACATTTCAGGCCATTCTTCAGAGTAAAACGGCAATCATCTCCCTCAGAACCCGCTCTTCATACTGTTAAGTATAATTAACGTAAAAACTACTCTTCATACCAATGGTAACACAGGTGAATTCTCAACTTCCCACATATTTCCTGTCAAGTTCTTCAAAATCCAACCTTAGGATAAAAACGCAACTTCAAGAAAACGGTCTCTCTTCTTGCTGCGTCCTTTAAGCACACCCATTTTAAAAACTATACATCCAGCCAGAATCGAACCTTGCATCGCGGCACAATGTTTCAATAGCGCCTACAATCGGACCACTGTAACAGCTAACAATCCATGGCCCTTCACCTGGGGAAAACCACCTTAAAAAAGCCTTTGGGGTAAGTTGTGGCGCCTAATCCCACCACCCTCGTCTGAATTTAAATTAGGGCAGTCTTAAAAAAAAAAACAAATCCACGTCTTAACCTTTAGTCTTCCATTAAGTTTTCCTTTCCCAGGTTATCAACCCCGCCCCTTTCATCCCCGGCAGGGCCACGTGGGGGTAAGTCGCAGGCCACCATGTGCGCGCAGCCCTGCGCAAAAAGCACGCGGCAGGGCCTCCTTCCGGAGCCCACCTGCCGCCCGCCCGGAGCTGAGACCCCGTGGGCCGCCGCTCTCCGCCCCAGGACCCCGGGCCCTCAGCAGGCGCCAGGACCCACGCGGCGCGGCCCACGTGGCGGGCCGCGAACCGGGGCACATGCGTCAGGAGGCGGGGCTCCGCTCGGGCCCGTCGCAGGAGTTTGGCCTCATCCGTCCGGGGCCCAGCGCCCCCTTCCCGCGCTCAGCCCCCAAGTCCTTCCCCGCCGCATCGACCATCCGCCGCACCTGCCGAAGCTCTTCACGTCGCTACCACACAGCCAAAAGCCGCGAGACCTCCCAGCTAATCGCGCGAGACTTCCCGCACTATGGCGCCCTCGAAGGAGCCCGGGGTGGCGCGCAGGCCCTCCTCCTGGCGGCGCCGCGCGCGCGCTCCTCGGAAAACAGGCCTTGACGTCCGTGCTCGCGCGGGCAAGGCCTCTTACCTTTGCAAGCTTTACCATGATAGCGGCTTAGGACTGCGGAGTGTGTGGCGAGCGAGTGGCGCAGATGAGCCTAGAAGAAGCGAAGCAACGTCGATGGCGGCCGCTGATCGCAGAGCTCGTACGCTTGGCTGCCAGCTAGAGCTCGAGACTGAGGCGAAAGACTGAGCCTGCCCAGTAATCGCCTCTGGAAAGGCGACGACGGCGCCCTCGTGACTCCGCCGCGACCAACCAGAGTTCGCGTCCCTCCCATAAGCCAATCGCGAGCCTCTACCTGAGAACGACGCGGGGCGGGGCACGGGCAGGAGTGGGCGGGCAGAGGAGGCCAGAGAAGGGGGGAGGGGATTCGTGGCGGCGGCCCAGGGGCGGGACTCGCTTTGTGCAAGCCCAGCGCTGATTGGGCCGTGAGCGCGCGGTTCCCGGAGTGCCTATCCACGGCCCGCGCTCGCGGCGCCTGCGCCGTGGGACGGACATTTTTGGCGCCGCGTGTTCTCTAATTCCCGGGCGGTGGGGAGTGGTGGTGGTTTTCGGCTCCCCAGTGTGTCTGGGTCTTGTCGACTGTGGAGGTCTTGAGTTTCCTGGGAGGCTTCACGCGCGACCCCGGCCCGCACTCCACGCAGAGCCTCCTGGAGGGAGGAAAGATAAGAGTTTGCCTAGTTTCCTAATTAGCCCGAGACCGTCGGGAATTTAGGGTCCACTGCGTTGAGGGACCACCTTCGTCCCGCCCGCTAACGAACCGGGAACCAGAAAGTCCCCCTGTCTGCTGGTGACTCCCCCGACCCACGTGCCTGACGCTGCCTTCTGAGAGCCGCTGATATAGACAGTTGCGTATGTTTGTGAGGTTTACTGTGAGCAGCGCACAAACATAATATTTAATCTCAAGAAACCTCATGCACTAGGTAATTTTACCAGTGGCAAACACCCTGGTGGTCACTGGATGTTACAACTGCGGAATGGGGAGAAGAACTTGGTCAGGCCAACCACAGTGCAGGGCCTTTGGCCACTCAAAAGTTCCCTCTTTGTTATTTGGGACTAAAGCAGCTATTTTAAAATGGTGGCTGCTAAATCAGTGTCACCAGATGGTCTAGGAGTCAATCAAAAGAGTCAAAGAAAAGTTACCTTGTTGGCGGAAGCACAGAAAGTTGCCCTTGCGTTGCGTTTTTGCCAATTATTCAGATGGGTCATTGTGGCAAAACTTAATTGGTGTCAAACTTAACCTAGAGCACTTTCTTCAGTTTTGAGCCTGCCCAGGTAGGATGGTTACATCCTGGGCACCTGGTGCCTGGTACAAAACCAAGATACCTTCAGCTGTGACGATATTTCCCTAACTGAACTAATGTTCAGAATCACCTCTGGAGTTTCTAATTAAAGAGGTGTGGCATTGGGCCCAGGATTTGTTGTTGTTGTTGTTGTTGTTGTTGTTGTTGCGGTACGCAGGCCTCTCACTGTTGTGGCCTCTCCCGTTGCGGAGCACAGCCTCCAGACGCGCAGGCTCAGCGGCCGTGGCTCACAGGCCCAGCCGCTCCGCGGCATGTGGGATCTTCCCGGACCGGGGCACTAACCCGTGTCCGCTGCATCGGCAGGCGGACTCTCAACCACTGTGCCACCAGGGAAGCCCCAGGATTTTGTATTTTAACAAGGGCTAGTGGGGATTCTGTGAGCAATCAAGTTATTTTGCAACTCTTCCTAGGAGGCTCCTGTGACTGAGTGAATAGGAAACTCACAGCTACCCACTGGGGCTCTCTGATCAGGAAGGAAGCTGGGGCCAGTTCTCTGGTCTGCACCCTGCTTTCTGATGATCTGTGGAGAGCACCCTGAGGAGGTTCTCATTTTAAACTCTGGGATGGGGACACTTACTGGGTGATGGGGGACGGAAAGAACAGCATAAGCCAAGGCATGGTGGAGTAAGACCCCCGTGTTTGCAAGCAGTTTGGCACAGAGCAAGCTTGGGGCACTCATGGGAAGAGGCTGGAGAGAGCAGTGCAGGATCAAGTGACGGGGATGAGTTATAGAAATACTGGCGTGGCTGGCTTGTCATTCAGATCTCAGTTTACATCACCTCTTGAGAGGCCTTTCCCCAACCCTCCAATGAAAAGTGCCGCCCAGAGGCTCCCTACCACATCACCCTAACCAAGTCCTCTGCAGGTGCTTACCACTACCTGGCATTTTTCTTGTCTGTTTACTGTCTGTTTGCTCCTTCCCCAGCCACGAGAACGCAGACTTCGTTCTTTGCTATATTCCTGGCGCCTCAAGCATTGCCTGACATAAGTAGTGGTGAAAATTATTTGTTGAATGAATGAAGTATTTAGGTAAAAGGAGCAGTGGAGAAAGCCAGTATAGCTTAGTGTTAAGTGCCTTGCTTTGGAGCCAGCCTGGGACAGAAAAACAGAAATAGCTAATATATAATACTTACGAAGTTCCAAGCACTATTCCAGTTCTTTATACATAATATATATATAAATTCATTTACTCTTAGAAAAAAATTATCTCTATTTTACAGAAACTGGGGCATAGATAAGTTAACTTGTCTAGGGTCACATAGCTAGGAACTAGGATTTAAATTGAGACCCTGCTCTGTCATCCCAGTTTCTTTATAAAATGCGTATAATAATAGTACCTGACATTTGGGTTGTTATGAGTATTAAGTGAGATGTGTAATAAGTCCTCAGTATTAGCTATTGTTATTATTGACAGACTTCGTGACTTGAATAGAGAGGGAGAACAGATCATTTATTTCCATTATCTGTTGAGTGTGTGTATGTATGTGGAGTGATACCAGCAGGGCTGCAGGTCTGGGGGGAAGCTCCTGAGTTCAATGTTGGACATGATGCATGCATAAGAAATACCCATCGCTTTAGGCCAGGTGTACCCAACCCGCAGGGGACCGATACCGGTCTGCGGCCTGTTGGGAACCGGGCCGCACAGCAGGAGGTGAGCGGTGGGTGAGTGAGCGAAGCTTCATCTGCCGCTCCCCGTCGCTCCCATCACCTCCTGAACCATCCTCTCTCCCCACCGCATCCCCCCCCGCCCGTGGAAAAACTGCCTTCCACAGCCAGTCCCTGGTGCCAAAAAGGTTGGGGACCGCTGCTTTAGGCAGCTGGCTCTATGGAGGTGGTCACACAGCTGCAGACACAGATGGCATGAGGGACCAGCCTAGCATAGCAGCCAGAGTGAGGAGAGGAGAAGGCTGGGCAGACCCAGACCCAGTGGTGGAAAACATCTAGGGTGGGAGAAGGCCCAGAGGCAGAAGCCAAGCTAGAAAAGGGGAGTTTTGGAAGCCAAGGGAAGAAAGGGTTTCAAGAAAAAAGGAAGAAAGAACAGTATCCAATGCCACAAAAAAGTCAAATAAGGTGAGGCCTGAGAGGGTCTACTGGATTTGGTATTAAAAGATGTTGGAGATTTTGGCAAGTGTGATGGGGAAGAAGCCACACTGCTGCGGATGGAAAAGTGGCAGTGCTAAGTGTACGGCCCCTGGAGGAAGCACTCCTGGGAGAGGGAGTGGTCGCAGCTCAAGCTTCCCCATAGCTTATAGCCTATGGGGAAGGACCCAGTAGAGGGAGAGTTGGAAGCTTAGAAAAGAAACAAGAGGACAAGATTGAGTGAGGATTCCCAAATGAAGGGGCTACCCCTTGGTCCACACCAATTTGAGACTAAAGGTAAGCGTACCTGTGTAACTAACACAGAAGAGTAAGCCAGAATGTAGGCTCGGGGGTGGGGGTGGGGGGGCGGAGCTTACTGCCAGGACAGCTTAGTGCCTCTTAAGTGCCCAGACAGTGCCTGGTGCATAAAAGATGCTTAGGAAATGTCCATTCAATGAATGGAGTATGGTGTGACAATTACGATAATTCCTGTCTGCTGGTGTCTTCTTTTGGAAGAATAGGGCCCCCCGTGGCCTCAACTCCCTTCTGTACATACCCCCACCTCCTGCCCCTCTGCTTGGGGTACCCTCTCTGGTTTTGGTTCCACCTCCCGGGGACGACTGTCCCCTGACAGCGCCCAAATCAGGGTCTCTGCAGAGCCTCTTTCCTCCTGGGCTCCAGGCAGCTCCCTTTGGTGTCCTATAGATCTTCAAATTCCAAGCATCACAAACTGAATTCAGCTGCTTCCTCCGCTCTGAACCGCCGTCTTTCATACCTTCTAAACGAGACACAGCAACTGGCCCTCCCAGTCCAGGGCCGGACACAGTCTTAGACCCGACCGTCCCCCTCAGCCCCCAAGGCAGGGGCTTCCCACAGCCTGGCCCTTGGGAGTCTTTGGAATCGCTCCCCTACTCTTCCCACAGCTTCCTTCTTACTTCAAGCTTCGTCATCCTGCCTAGATTAAGGCAGCAATTCTGAACTGGCCTCCCTGACACCAGTCTTGCCCCCATCTTAATTTGCGTGTAGCCACATCAGGTTTTTTTTGTTTTATTGGCTGCGCCACGCAGCTTGCAGGATCTTAGTTCCCCGACCAGGGGTTGAACCCACACCCTCGGCAATGAAAGCGCGGAGTCCTAACCACTGGACTGCCAGGGAATTCCTGCCACATCAGTTTTTTAAATCTACAGATACAAACACATTCTAATAAATGAAAGATTTCAATGACTTCTCCTACCCGGCACGGTGAACCCCCAGTGCCGCAGCCCACCAATGAAAGCCCACTTCCTGCTGCAGAGAAGGGGACTAAGGTGAGGCGAGCGAGGCATTTGTCTCAGGAACAAGATCTAAGGGGCACCAGAAACTGAGTGATCAAGATAAGTAGTATTTCAGTGCAGTATTTTTTCATTAACATGAAAAATACACAATGAACACAAAATCGAATTTTAAAAACCCTCAGGATGAGAATTACTGATATTTCTTTGGCCTCAGCCTCCACTATGGCTTACACAACACTATTACTGATCCTGTGTTCATTTAAAACTTGATATTTTGTTCATCATGAATTTCCTTGTACTACTTTTGGAAAGACTGACATTCTTAAAATATTCAGTTTTCTCTCCCGGAATATGTGTTTCATGTTTTGCATTAAAACATTGTATTGATTACTGAGTTTTTGGCCTTCAACTTTGTATCCAAGGCAACTGCCTCACTTGTCTCACCCTAGTCCTGGTTCTGTGCCCAGCTGTGACCTCCAGGCTTCAGGCAACTGAACCACTGGCCTTCCCCTAATGGGCCCTCTGGCCTCTGTCCCACCTGCACCCTC